ACATAAACATTACATCATTAATTATTTAATTAACCAAAAAAATTACATTTTTATTAATAACAAATTAATTTTTAAACAAAACTATTAAATATAAACTAGGCAAACGTGCATTGCACGTTGCTTGCACCTAGTATGATTGACAAATATGTAACAGGTCAGCATAAACAAATGAGAAGTTATATGTTATTTTCTTAACCCTTTGGGAGCTTCGAGTAATTTATTGTCATGAATTTAGCTCTCGAACCGCCCCCACCTTCTCTTTCCCGGGTGGAGGGTTGCAAGAGAGATGGCTTGCATGTTCGTTCCACTTGTGTGTATAACAATATAAAATATATAAATACTGTTACGTAAAATCGAGAATCAGTAATAGAAAAATAATAATAAGATCATACAAATTTACATGAAAATTATAGATAGAAAAAATCATAGACAAAGGAAAAATTCACCATATCAAAAATAAGTACAAGGGGTGAACATTTTTTACAACTACACTGAATATTACAATGAATCCTTGAAAAACATCATATATGTATGTATGTATGCACGCGTGCATGCGTGCGCAAGAATAAAACATGTCCATATTTTTAGTTTTGTCACATGTAGCACCGCGAACTAATCGAATTAGGTTAAACAGAATTCGGGTCATCACATTCTAATACATACATACATACATACATACATACAAGAAAATTAGTAGCTTGGCTTGGCACTTCCCAGAGTATAAAAATTGTTTTCATTATCTGTTTGTTTGGTTGGCTTGGCATGGCAGAGAGATGATCACTATAGTCTGTGTGGTTAGGGTGCATTTCGCCCTCATATGGAAACCTTATTTTACTTTTTGCTCACTTCACTTACCATTTCCATTTTTTCCTGTATTTTCAATCATTCCAATACATATTATAATGCCTGGATTTCTGTTCAGTACTTCTACATACCCCACGAAGTGGGGCAAAATATATATAGTTTATTTGTGAAATCATTTCCTCGACTTTTGTGAAGAAAAGATCTTGAAGATGTGATAGTCGATCACATAATTTTTTATGAATTAGGTCACTTTCTCACGTTCAAACACACTTTTCTCTTTGTTTTTATTTTTTTTCCCTTAACAGGGTGGTGGTGGGGTGTTAGAATTAATGAGTCACTAGATGAATCAAGTCTATAACCGTTGCTGTGGGGACTGATAGCTCAACAAAATTCATAGTGCTTGCATTCCTTAAATTCAGGAGTGGAGAATAATTCTGTTACACACTTGGCAACAATGTATAGGTGGTAGGAATATAAGTTTGTTAAATGTTTTCTTGTACTGGATGTAATTGTCTATATAAGATGAATGTAAAGAGGAGATCAATGAGCTGTGAAATAGAAAAGGAACCTCAATATTTTCAGTTGGTATCAGAGCTGAAATGGCTAACACTGAGTCTAGAGTCCAAGCCCCTGCAATTGAGTTCACTTCCTCATCTTCCACTCCCACAGAAGCTCAAATGTTTCAGGCATCACCATTTGGAATGAACCTTACCCAAACATCGTCAATAAAGCTTGACAAAAACAACTTCCAGCTGTGGCAATATATGATTATGCCTATAATCAAAGTCCACAACCTTGAAGGTTATCTACTGGGAACTAAGGAATGCCCGCCGGAATTTCTCAGTGTCCAAACTACTTCTGAAGGAGAAGAAGCCATAAAGGTTTCCCAGAATCCAGAGTACAGCAGATGGATGTCAATCGACCAACTACTAATGGGATGGTTGTATTCATCCATGACTCCTGAGTTGCAATGAGAGTTATGGGATCTACTAGCTCAAGCAAGTTGTGGAATGCAGTCAAGGAAAGCTATGGAATAATGAATAGATCAACGGTTACTTTCCTCACAGATGAATTGTAGAGGACCAGGAAGGGTTTAATGCATATGGACCAGTATCTCACCACTGTAAAACAACTGTCTGGCAACCTACAAATTGTTGGAAAATCAGTTGATCACAGTGATCTTGTGACTCAAGTTCTTGCAGGGCTGGATGAAGAATACACGCCCATCGTGGTACAGGTTAACAGCAGGGAAAACATCTTATGCTATGAGCTCTCATCAGTTCTTATGACTTTTGAAAGCAGACTTGAACATCTCAGTCAAGTTAAGAGTGGTTTGGCATCCTTCAACATAACTCAGTCAAGTGTACAGTTAGCACAGAGGTCTGCATCAGGTGGTGGTAAGACTTTTAAAACTGGTGCTAGTGGGAGGTTTACAAACTTCAGTGGAAGAATAAGAGGCAAAGGAAGAGCAGGGAGAACAGGTGAGAGTCGAAGACCCTGTCAAATCTGTGGGTTAAGCAATCATACAGCTAGCTGGTGCTACAATAGGTTTGATAATAAGTATATGGGAAGTAGACCTAGCATTCAGACCTATTAGAACAACAACCCAACTGTTGTAGCTTATATAGCTTCACCTAGCACGGTTGAAGATCTAACATGGTTTGCAGATTCTGGAGCAAGCACACATGTAACAGCTGATAAAGATAATCTGACTACTGCAAAGAAATATGGAGGTAAGGAGAAATTGTTAGTAGGTAATGGTAATTCATTGTACATTGCTCACATTGTAGAAATGAATGTCTGCACATGAGTAACAAGTCAATTGCCTTGAATAGAATTTTACATGTGCCCGCTATTAAGAAAAATTTGATTAGTGTCTCTCAACCAACAAATGATAACAATGTATTCATGGAGTTTTATCCTAATTATTGTGTTGTGAAGGATCTAAAAACGAAGAAGACTTTACTACAAGTCAAATGGATTGTATCAGCTGGAGTTATCAAGTTCCAATTATCAACCTATTGTCCAAAAGTCAACCAATCAGAATAACTTCAATCTCACAAACTTCTCAGTCAGTTCAAGTTGTCACGAGTCTAGCCAAAGTGTCAAGTTATCTGAGTCTCGGATAGATATCTGGCATAGAAGATTGGGTCACCCTTCGAACCTTGTATTGAGTCAAATACTAAAGTCATGTAATAGAGTTGCAAAAGCTAATGAAAATCCTAATTTATGTGAAGCCTGTCAGTTTGGAAAATCCCACACATTACCCTTCAATCTATCTTCATCACATGCATCTAGTGTTCTGGAACTCATACACACTGATGTTTGGGGACCAACACCAACAAGTTCTATCTCAGGCTGTAGGTTTTATATCACCTTCATTGATGATCATAGCAGGTTCACTTGGATCTACCATATGAAACACAAATCAGAGGCACCAAACATCTTCATTCAATTCAAAAAACTGGTAGAAAA